CAGGTGTTTCCAGTGAAGGGTCCTGTTGTTGCTATAGCATATAAAAGACATTGTAGACCATTGGTTCTCAGCTGGTGGGTCATGCCCCAAAAGTGGGTCACGGCTCCGTGTTTAGTGGGTCACCGCGTGCCTTCTACTTTTCTAGGTGAGAGGTTCCTCGGCCTCCCCGTAGTGCAGCACTGCCATTTAAAATATCCTGCCCGGGGCCGAGTGTCAGCTTGAGATGGGGGTACGGCCGCGAGGGAGCTCCATGCATACGTGCATTGCTTACAGCTCCCTCGCATGTCCTGTAGAGGTGCCTGGACCGGAGTGATGTCACATTCTGGCTCCCAGCACCTCTACAGGGCATGCAAGGGAGTTGTACGGGCAATGCACATATGGATGGAGCTCAGTCACAGCACAGGGGCTGGACCTCAGGCTGAGGATCCGCTCCAGTTCTCGTATAGTAGGGTGTCAGGATCCAAAGCACCGGAGCCAGTACCTGCGGCTCCAGTGCTCACCTGCGGGTGTCTCCCAGCTGCCTTCAATTACCCACCACCTGGTGCTTCCAGGGGGGGTATATAATCCCTCCCTGTAGTCAGGACTGTCGCCTTTCCCTGAATCCCGAGCCCCAGTGTCCTGTAGCCCTTCCCTGAATCCCGAGCCCCAGTGTCCTGTAGCCCTTCCCTGAATCCCGAGCCCCAGTGTCCTGTAGCCCTTCCCTGAATCCCGAGCCTCAGTGTCCTGTAGCCCTTCCCTGAGCCCTGGTACCTGTTTGCAGTTCTGAGCCCTGTCCCGCTTGCTGTATCCTGTTGCCTGTACCCTGACCCCCCTTGTCCCTTAGCTCCCCTGGTCTTGCCCGGCTCCACCTGGCTCGTATTCCCCAGGTGTGTATTTGGTTCTACTTAGTTTGTTGTTGCTCTTACCTGTTTGTGGTTACTTGTGGGTGTTGGCGGGGTTATTCGTTATATTTTGATGTATATAAAAACCGTGTGCCTATAACCTTTTCCGGTGTGGTCATACTAATTTGGTCATCCTGCGTGGGTACCTGCATGCGGTGTGGGGACACCCGCGCACGGTACCCTGACATAGGGAGAGTGTGTATGCGTGAGAATGTCTGAGTGTGTGAGATTGTGTGTCTGTCAGTGTTTTTGAAGGCCCGTTCACACTAGTGCAGTGTGTCAATGGTACAGTCCTGTGCGATTATTGCACTGTACCGCGCAATCGCACCTACTACGAGTTCTGGTGTGGGAGGTGCATTCGTTTGAATGGCACCCCAAACGTACCTCCCACAGTTCACTCGCCCGCACCGGAATGTGGGGTACCGCAATGCCGTGCGACGTGGATTGCCACTGTAAGACTATACCTGGCCGTGCGGATGCTTGTCTTCCGCACTTGCGGGAAACGGCAACCTATTGCGCATGAGCGCTCAACAAACGCGGCGCGCAGGAAGTGATGCAGCTTCTCTGGGTTGACGGCCCTATTTAAACTTGCCAGTCCTATGGATCATTGCTGGATGGTCTTTCAGCTCCTGTGTGTGTGTTCCTCGGCCTGTTCCAGTATTCTGCTGCCTGACCCGGATCTCCTTGACTACGCCTGACTGCTGCCGCCCCTGACCTCTGCTTGCTCCCCGACTACTCTTCTCCCTGCCGCCTTGTACCTCGCTGCCCGATCGGAGTTGACCCTGGCCTGCCTGACCTCGTCCTGCTCCAGCCGTGTTCCTGGTGGTCTTATCAGCTGCATCTACACCTGCTACCTGCTTCCTTGGAAACCAGCTTCGGACTCACCCAGGCACTGTGCCCTGCACCCTCCGGCACCGGTGCTGCTCTCTGTCCTCTCACTCCCTGTCACCACTCTCAGGGGTGAGGGACAAGAGTTGCAAAGGAGGCCTCCTCAACTACTCGGGTTCTCTACCAGGTACGTGATAGTCACTTAATGACCAAGGACAAATGTGTGTATTGATTAGGGGGAAGACTTCTACCCGCTATATTCAATCTCCCAATAGTCAGTGTCCTGTAGCCCTTCCCTGAATCCCGAGCCCCAGTGTCCTGTAGCCCTTCCCTGAATCCCGAGCCCCAGTGTCCTGTAGCCCTTCCCTGAATCCCGAGCCTCAGTGTCCTGTAGCCCTTCCCTGAGCCCTGGTACCTGTTTGCAGTTCTGAGCCCTGTCCCGCTTGCTGTATCCTGTTGCCTGTACCCTGACCCCCCTTGTCCCTTAGCTCCCCTGGTCTTGCCCGGCTCCACCTGGCTCGTATTCCCCAGGTGTGTATTTGGTTCTACTTAGTTTGTTGTTGCTCTTACCTGTTTGTGGTTACTTGTGGGTGTTGGCGGGGTTATTCGTTATATTTTGATGTATATAAAAACCGTGTGCCTATAACCTTTTCCGGTGTGGTCATACTAATTTGGTCATCCTGCGTGGGTACCTGCATGCGGTGTGGGGACACCCGCGCACGGTACCCTGACATAGGGAGAGTGTGTATGCGTGAGAATGTCTGAGTGTGTGAGATTGTGTGTCTGTCAGTGTTTTTGAAGGCCCGTTCACACTAGTGCAGTGTGTCAATGGTACAGTCCTGTGCGATTATTGCACTGTACCGCGCAATCGCACCTACTACGAGTTCTGGTGTGGGAGGTGCATTCGTTTGAATGGCACCCCAAACGTACCTCCCACAGTTCACTCGCCCGCACCGGAATGTGGGGTACCGCAATGCCGTGCGACGTGGATTGCCACTGTAAGACTATACCTGGCCGTGCGGATGCTTGTCTTCCGCACTTGCGGGAAACGGCAACCTATTGCGCATGAGCGCTCAACAAACGCGGCGCGCAGGAAGTGATGCAGCTTCTCTGGGTTGACGGCCCTATTTAAACTTGCCAGTCCTATGGATCATTGCTGGATGGTCTTTCAGCTCCTGTGTGTGTGTTCCTCGGCCTGTTCCAGTATTCTGCTGCCTGACCCGGATCTCCTTGACTACGCCTGACTGCTGCCGCCCCTGACCTCTGCTTGCTCCCCGACTACTCTTCTCCCTGCCGCCTTGTACCTCGCTGCCCGATCGGAGTTGACCCTGGCCTGCCTGACCTCGTCCTGCTCCAGCCGTGTTCCTGGTGGTCTTATCAGCTGCATCTACACCTGCTACCTGCTTCCTTGGAAACCAGCTTCGGACTCACCCAGGCACTGTGCCCTGCACCCTCCGGCACCGGTGCTGCTCTCTGTCCTCTCACTCCCTGTCACCACTCTCAGGGGTGAGGGACAAGAGTTGCAAAGGAGGCCTCCTCAACTACTCGGGTTCTCTACCAGGTACGTGATAGTCACTTAATGACCAAGGACAAATGTGTGTATTGATTAGGGGGAAGACTTCTACCCGCTATATTCAATCTCCCAATAGACTGGTAAGAAATATGACTGAATGTGCCGCTTACATAGTTCTTCCCTGTCGAAGGTTTGTCCGCTTCCACCAAACAGTCCTTTCAGAAATCCTCTGTTCTGAGCTTCCGGGGTCTCCACCAGCGAGAAGAGGTCCCCCAGCATGTCCTGAGTGTGAGGAACAGACACACAGCTGTGAAATTCATAGACAGGGTGACCTTCCTTACCGCCAGATTTGTGTGCCGAGGACATTGTCACTGCAGCCTTGGCACAGTGTTCATATTTCCAGTATCTGACATTACACAGTGACCGCAGGGGGTAGGGGAGGACCAATCATGTTCTGCCTCATAGAACAACCCTCTACAACTAGACTTGTGCGCCGTCCAAAAATTCGTTCCATTTCGGAATATCCGTTATTTCGTATCCGAAACTCAATTCGGATTCGTACGAAATACGGATTTTCGTTAGTTTCGGCACATTTTCGTAACTTTACGAACATTCGTTATGATGAAGTTAAAAAGCAAAAATACCTTTGTTAATATTGGAGTCGATGTGGTACCCTGTTTCCCCGACAATAAGACCTACCCCGAAATTAAGACCTAGTTGTGACGATTCCCAGGGCCGGCGATGGCATAAGGGGGAACTTGGAAGGGCCACAGGAGAGAATCAGCGGTGCCAACGAAGCCGGCGCTAGAGGAAGGGAGCGCTGGGAGCGGAGCCGCACAAGCCGATGCCGCCTCTATAGCGCCGGCTCCTGTCACAGGCGGAGTCATACCAAATGCCTGTGAGGTACGGCGCCCCTGATTGCTCTGATCACCCTATTCCTACTTTGCCATTTTGGATTATTTAATTTGGATTTGCATTAACTTTGAATTGTTGCACATTAAAAAAAATAAGACCTCCCCCGAAAATAAGACCTGGTGTGTTTTTTGAGCCTCACAAAATATAAGACAGTGTCTTTTTTTCGGGGAAACACGGTAGTTGTTTTTGTATCCGAAATACGAATTCCGTTAATGGATTCCGTATCCGAATTTCGTATAAAAAAAAAAACTACCATCAACTCCAATATAAATGTACTTTGCTTTTTACCTTCAATATAACGAATGTTCGGAACGGAACGAAAATCCGTCAACGGAATTTGGTATTTCCTGCCTGTGTATTGTAATGCAGCTCTCAGCAGCAGCGGATCCGTATTTCGGATTAAAAAAAAAAATCTTGTCATGTTGTTCAACCTCATTCACAGGGGTAATATTAGTTCCCGTTTCATAGAAATTCGGATCCGAAATTCGTTAACGGAATTTCGTATTTCGGATATAATTCGGAAACTGCCATTCGGATTTCAGATGCTTCCGAATTTACGAATTTCAGGAAAATTCGTACGAATTTCGATTCGTAACCAAAACCAATCGCACATGTCTATCTACAACAGGGGTCTCAAACCTCCGGCCCTCCAGCTGTGGTGGAACTACAAATCCCATGAGGCTTTGCAAGATTCTCACAGCCACGACTCCCAGAGAGAGATGCATCATGGGATTTGTAGTGTCACCACAGCTGGAGGGCCGGAGGTTTGAGACCGTTGCTCTACAAGCTCTGAGTAATATCACCTCCACACTCATACACCACTAAGGTCAATTTCAGGTGGATTTAGGGAGGTAACTGGAGCACCTGGAGGAAGCATAAGAAGAACTCTCACACTCTATGTAGATATTGTACCTTGTGGGATCTGAAGCCAGGACCCAGAGCTGCAAAGCAATAATAATTGCAGTTTCACTCAATATTGATATGTTGTCTGTCGGTGATATTTGGATTAGATGACCCGAAGCATTCTATTCTGTTGATGTTTATTTGGCCAGTTCTATGGAAATATAATACCGCAGCAACTAGAATGGGGCTCAGGGTTGTGTCCCAGTCTGGGTGTCTATCAGGGACGTGCGGTCAGGGGAGGCGGAGCCTCACCTAGTAGTACAGAGGAAAAAGCTGTCAGCTGACAGCTTTTTCTCCATTCAGATCGGCTTCTATCAGGTTACGACTTTTGACAGGTAGTTGACAGGTAGTTGACAGGTAGTTAGGTTACACAGCGGCGGGCTTCCCCACTGCTTGTGTAACCTAACTTGGTGAGGCAAGAGCTGTCACGGCCTCTACTCTGTGTTAGAGGCCTGAGCTCTGTCGACGGCTTGGACCAATGGCAATGCGCCATATGGTCCAAGCCATCCAATAAAAATAAAAAAACCCCACTGAGGCCATCGATCTCGATGCCTCAGCAGTGACGAGCAAATGAGGGACACGGAGCCTCCTCCCTTCCTTTGTCTTTGGCGGGTGGGGGCTGGGCGGGGATGTGCGGGGGGTGAGGCTGGGGAATGCCTCACCCGGAACCAAAGGTACCGCACGTCACTGGTGTCTATGGATTAACTCTATGGGTGGACTTCTTATCCCCAACTGCACCGAGTGGGCATCAAGGGGCAAATGACATTCTGGACATGCTTCTCTATGAGCCAGAACATGACTGGTCCACACCCGCCCCCTGTTCATCTGCAGCCCACCAGGAAGGCAGAGCATGAGAGTGATGAAGCTATTGTGTGATAGGACTCCAGGCGCCACAGGTCAGCAGCTGGTCAACAGCATCCTCTTTGCCCTCTATTTTCCTATAACTCCCCCCGAGTTCAAACCTCCGGGCTGTTTAACGGAAGTCTAGATGTCCAGCCAAATTCAGCACACGTTGCTAAACTGAAAAATGACCCTGAAAGTCACTCACCTGCCATAAATCATTTTTATATTTTTCTAAGGACAAGGCTTTTAAGTCGACTTAATTTTTTTAATACTATAACTGTATCTAACAATTACCATATTAAAAAAAGAGGAACACTGCTATCTTCAGCCTTCCCTTCAGTCTTGCACAGTTGTACCGGCTCCTCTCCTGGACCGACATTTCTTACTCTGATATCACTGCACACTGGGAGCTTCTCACAAATAGAAGCTGCAGCAAGTCAGATAGACCCCGCCTCATTTCCTGGCTGGAGGACGTCCCCAGCATGACTTTCCATGGCCCCGCCCCTTTCATTCATTGGATTGCAGATCTTTCAATCATGGAGGCTTAGCATCACATGTGGGCATTACTACTTGCAGGAAGCTATGTACAGCACCCTGTTGGGCCCTCCCACTAGCCATGATGTGCCCGCTTTGCATACAGCAGCAAACAGACCTGGTGACAATGTCGCCGAGCCTAAAATAAGGTATGTCATGAAAACAAAAACTTTATTTTTAATATTTTAATTGACATGTTAATGAGGGGGAAGGGGAGGAGCCAGGAACGGCAACATATGAGCATATCTTCAGCCGTAATGTACGCGGTATGAAGTGTCTCACCTGCAGGCTGTCGCACATTTCCTGGCTGTACGTTATTCTTTGGATCTCACTGGAAGAACACAGGTACAGCGCCTGGCCGCCGTTGGTGAAGCAGAACGTCCTGGCTATTCTCATGTCTGTCAGCGGTAAGTAATTGACATCCAGCATGGGACGCAGGCTGGGCAGGCTGCAGAGATAAAACTTCCCGTTATCTATGGGATGATCCTTCGCAGGCTGACAGATAAACAATAATACTTTCTCATAAAAGGCGAGCGTCTGCGTGCTGGCTGCGCGTCGTCGTAACGCCGAACGCGGTCCTCTGCATCTCGGGTACTCACCTCGTGTTCTCTGCTTCTTGTGCTACTCCAGCTTTGAAGGGACATATGAGGAGCTTATGTATGAGGGTGACGTGAGAGGATTAGAACCGACATATCCGTCTGGATGTCACAACACTTCTTAACACTCAACCTTTCAAAAACTGAGCTCTTGATATTTGCCCCCACCCCACCCCATGCACCTTGCCCCAACTTTTCCCTTGAGATTGATAACACAACTATCCAGCCCTCCCCCCATGCCAAGGTGCTAGGTGTCATCCTGGACTCGGACCTCACCTTTCTTCCCCACATCCAATCACTATCCAAATCCTGCCGCCTTCACCTTCCTAACATCTCCAAAATACGCCCCTTCCTCATGGTGTGACCAGTTTTGTGTGAAAGAAACATGAGTGTCCTGCACAGAGGCCTGACCTCAACCCTGCGGAACACTTTTGGGATGGATTTGAATGCCGATTGTGGGCCAGATCTTCTCATCCAACATCAGTACCTGACCTCACGAATGGGACGAATTCCCACAGACACCATTCAAAAATCTTGCGGTCACAGTTTGGTGAAGACCCTTTTCTGTTCCACCATGACTGTCCCCTGTGCACAAAGCCAGCTCCATAAAGACATGATGTGGCCAGTTTGGTGAAGACCCTCTTCTGTTCCATCATGACTGTCCCCCGTGCACAAAGCCAGCTCCATAAAGACATGATGTGGCCAGTTTGGTGAAGACCCTCTTCTGTTCCATCATGACTGTCCCCCGTGCACAAAGCCAGCTCCATAAAGACATGATGTGGCCAGTTTGGTGAAGACCCTCTTCTGTTCCATCATGACTGTCCCCCGTGCACAAAGCCAGCTCCATAAAGACATGATGTGGCCAGTTTGGTGAAGACCCTCTTCTGTTCCATCATGACTGTCCCCCGTGCACAAAGCCAGCTCCATAAAGACATGATGTGGCCAGTTTGGTGAAGACCCTCTTCTGTTCCATCATGACTGTCCCCCGTGCACAAAGCCAGCTCCATAAAGACATGGTGTGACCAGTTTGGTGAAGACCCTCTTCTGTTCCATCATGACTGTCCCCCGTGCACAAAGCCAGCTCCATAAAGACATGGTGTGACCAGTTTGGTGAAGACCCTCTTCTGTTCCATCATGACTGTCCCCTGTGCACAAAGCCAGCTCCATAAAGACATGATGTGGCCAGTTTGGTGAAGACCCTCTTCTGTTCCATCATGACTGTCCCCTGTGCACAAAGCCAGCTCCATAAAGACATGGTGTGACCAGCTTGGTGAAGACCCTCTTCTGTTCCATCATGAATGCCCCCTGTGCACAAAGCCAGCTCCATAAAGACATGGTGTGACCAGTTTGGTGAAGACCCTTTTCTGTTCCACCATGATTGTCCCCTGTGTACAAAGCCAGCTCCATAAAGACATGGTGTGACCATTTTTGTGTAAAGGAACTTGAGTGTCCTTTACAGAGCTCTGACCTCAACCCTACTGAACACCTTTGGGATGAACTGGAACCCAGGTTGTGAGGCGGGTCTTCTCATCCCACATCCTGACCTCACAAATGGGCACAAATTCCCACAGACACCCTCCAAAATCTTGTGGCAAGGCTTCTCAGGCGAGTGGAGTGGAGACCAACTCCATATTAATGGCCATGGTTTTGGAATGGAAGGTCCAACAAACTCATAGATGTGATGGTCAGGTTTCTACAGCACTTTTGGTATCTAGTGTATAATCAATTGCGTGTTATTTTGCACTTTATTTACCCCCCTTTGTTTTTTTTAATAAAGCTCTGTGCTGCACCTCCCTGTCTGAAAGCCGTCTTTATCTATGTAACTGGGACTTGTCCTGTAATGTTGAAGATGTTTTGGAGCTCAGCTAAGCCACTTCTTCAGTTCTAATAGGTGGTACAAATAAAAAAGGCGGATATATTGGTTGGTGTGGGTAGGTTTCCTGTAGACTCAATGTCCAAGTCTTCCCCATCCTTGACGTGTAAAACACAATCCAACAAAAAGAGTAGCTTGTTATTCCGTGCCTCTTCCCATGTAAACTTGATATCTGTGCTACCTCTGTGGCAGGGACGTGCGGTCAGGGGAGGCAGGGGGGGTCGGAGCCTCACCTAGTATTATGGAGGAAAAAGCTGTCAGCTTCAAGTCTGAAGCCGGCAGCTTTTTCTCCATTCAGATTGGCTTCTATCAGGTTACACATCAGAGAAATCCTCCCCACTATGTAACCCGTCATGTTGTCATGGACGGAGCGCTGTGTGACCTGTCATGGACGGAGCGCTGTGTGACCTGTCATGGACGGAGCGCTGTGTCACCTGTCATGGACGGAGCGCTGTGTCACCTGTCATGGATGGAGCGCTGTGTGACCAGTCATGGACGGAGCGCTGTGTGACTTGTCATGGACGGAGCGATGTCCGGCTTTTGACAGCTAAGTTAGGTTACACGGCAACGGGCTTCCCCACTGCTTGTGTAACCTAACTATTGAGGAAAGAGCTGTCACAGCCTCTACTCTGTGTTAGAGGCGTGAGCTCTGTGAATGGCTTGGACCAATGGCAAAGCGCCACCGGTCCAATCAAAAAAAGAAAACCCCACTGAGGCCATCGATCTCGATGCCTCAGCAGTGACGAGCAAGTGAGGGACAGGGAGGCTCCTCCCTGTCTCCTTCACACTAGCTTGGGGATCGGGTTGGGGGCGGAGCTTCAGCCGGTGGGGGGAGGCTGGGGAATGCCTCACCCGGAAACCAGAGGTACCGCACGTCACTGCTCTGTGGATATAAAATTCTGGGATGTGTTCCTGAAACTCATTAGAAATGAAGAAGTGGCTTTGGTAAGCTATGAAACATCTTCAACATTACAGAACAAGTCCAGATGAATGTGGCCGACTACGACTAGCTTTGTCTTTCATTAGCGAACACAAGAAGAATAGCCTCAGCAGCTGCAATTATAATATGTGTATTTACAATGTTTTTGAGATAAAAGAACGCGTTTCGCCCATGTGTCTGAGACTGTGGCGGTTGACAGAGACAGGATGACTATAAAGATGGGATGATGGAGGCCGAGTCCGGTTACCTTATTGTCATGATGTGCCCGTTGGCGCAGAAACAGGCCAGCAGGACGTTGTTGGACATGGTGACCACCTCCGCCCGCAGAAGGAAGGAGGTCTCGGTGATGTTGTGGACGTACAGACACGCCTGGGAAGGCAGAGAGAACACTTTGGCTTGCTTTTCCGAGCAGACCACGGCAAACTGGTGATCGCTCATATCCTGCGAAGAGGACGGAGAGAAGGCCACCAGTTTCCTCTTCCTCGTCTTCTCGTTGTCATCCATGCTGTTTGGGTCCCTCCAGACTTCGTAGGAGGGGCGGATTAAAGATCCCATACAGTCCAAGCAGGAGAAGGTCAGCACTGCCCCCTTCAGCATGAGCACTGTACCTGCAGGCAGATAAAAGCAGGCAGTCATACATAACCCGGTTATCCTGTTTATATACACAATGAGGGTTCTCTGCTTTATGGAATGATTCACTCAGAAGCAACCCCTGGGAATAAAGAGCTGAATATCTGTATAAAGCAGAAATGTTTAAAGGGTTAGTCCACTCAGAATTGGTATTTTTTTGGGTGTTCGGCAGACGTTGGGAGAGTTTACCCCTATAGTCCTAGTTCACACCTGGGCGTTTTGTGGCGTGTTCTACGCTCGACGAACGCTCTACAAAATGCTCCAAAATATAAATCCCATTGTATTCAATGGTCTCGTTCCCACCTCGGCGTATTTCCGCCCCGTCCCTAACGCGCAACAAAACGGCCCACGCCTGAAAAGGTGCAGGTACTACTTTGGGCCGTTTTGTTGCGCGTTTCCACGATCTCTGCAGCTGCGGACCGGGAACATGTCTCAGCGCCTGTGATTGGCCCTGCGCGCTGACGGCTTCCCGGCGGGCTCGGCCCGAGGCGCTTGCGAACACGCCCCGAGCCCATCGCTAGTCCCAACACCACGTGCAGGTATCTCTACAGGGGAACCAAATATGTGACCACACTTCAGATACCAAACAATTCCTGTGAACTATAGTTTATAAAAAACGCATGCAACCCCACCACCACCCGCAAGTAACATATGACAGCGAAACAATATACAACGACAAATCAGATATCAGAGATAACGGGGCTGGGTATAACCTGGAGAGCAGGGCAACAAGAGGGGAGCCGGGAGACACAGATCAGGGGGCCTCAGATCCAGGTCAGGGTACAAGGCAGGAACAGGATACAGGCGACAATACCAAGGCACAGGCCTCACTGCAGGGAGAGGTTAAATACCCTCCCAGACAGGGCCGGATTTACTCTCTCTGCTGCCCCAAGGCCAGGTTCCTCAATGCAACCCCCCCTAACCGCAACCCCTCCATGGAGAATGGCAGACTTGCAGGCGACATCGCCAAGATCACTTGTACAAAACAAGCGGCGGCTTCCCCGCTGTACATTTAGCTTTGCTTGCCCAAAGCCGGGCTAAGTGTAGAAAACAACTACCCGCCCGGCGCCCAGAACTGCATGTCCCGGGCGTCGGGAGATAGGAATTCCACACCTCTGCTGCCCCTCTACTCCCTGCTGCCCCTCT